GTACAAATAGCAAATTTCTCTATAATTAGTGTCCCCTTTAAAGATAATGATATTAAAAATCCCAATTGTTCCAACAAAACTGACATCCATGGAGACGAATTTTTCAGAGGTAGAATATTTATACCTTTTTTGTGTAGATGAATACCCCCACAAAGATACACTTTAGTGCTCTTGGATTTAATTTTCACTTGTTTTGAGCATGATATGACAAACACTGGACAACTAAATACTCTAAGAGAAACCTTAATTAATTAAATAAACTTAATTAATGAAATAGATTCGTTCGACTTGTGCTATTTGACAGTGGGTGTTGAGTAGGATGAGCTAAGCGAGTAGCTCGAACGAATTGACCAAGAGCTAGCAAGCTCGTCGACTCACGTGAAAGCTGTTGGTTAAAGTTTTTTAAAGGTTTGTATGAAACAGATTTTCCATAAATGATTTGTAAAAACAGTAAAGTAGAAAATGATTTGTAGAAACAGTAAAGCAGAAAATGACTTGTAAAAACAGTAAAACATAAAATGATTTGCAGAAACAGTAAAGTAGAATATTATGTTCGAAAAATTATGAAAAGAAAGAAGTCCAGAATTCGGAAAGAAGATGATCGAGGCGAGAATTAGGCTCTCTGTCCTTAAGACGTTTTTACCCCGTCACACGGTGCTTACGGTATGTGGTAAAGCGTCTCCCAAGATACAACGATCACACTTGCAGAAGCAGCACTTCGACTGTAAGACAACGAACCAGAACGAATGAAAATACTCTCTGCAGACTGATGCAAGGAAGAAGAGATGTATGATGTATGTATGCAGGAGATCGTGTGTATACTTTGTGTTGTATGAGGACTATTCAAATAGAGGAAGAAAGTTGACGGTTTTGGGCAGTTTCCCTCATGCCACTTAATGCACAGTTTCTTCGAACTGATGGGTCGGTTTGTAAACTGTCAAAGGGAGGGAAAAAATTAAATTCAATTTTTTTTAAAACCGAAAATAAATAAAAAAATTGAATTAATTTTAACCCAGGCCCACACCAGAACCCGACCCGGCCGGACGGACGGCGACGGCGCGCGCGTGTGGCCTTTGGACTAGTCTAGACAGTCTAAGACTCCCCCCTTTCAAAGACTATTGGTACCCCTTGGGGCCCAAACCCATTTCCAAACTTGAAGCTTATTAAGTGGTTCAAGGTTGTGTTTGCAACCTATGTGGGATTGGAACATTTTTCCAATTCTTTCCCATTTATCCTCTTATTTATTATCCAACTTTCAACCATAATTTCTCATTCATATTGAAATGGTTTTTCACAATTAAATATTCTACACTCATCTACTCGGAACGTAGAATTTAATTGAACATTAATCTTGATACATCGAACATCGAGTCCCACTTAAAATTGTGGTCAAAATTGACCCAATAGACCCACCATTTCCAACAAAAGCCAGTTCGCCAAACCGAGTTAGGCGATCCTAAGCAACCTGCATGGTTGCAGGGTGCTATCAATTCTAAGTCTATAAATGGGAACCAGAGACAAAACAAAATTCATCATAATTCAATATTTTCTATAATCTCCTAGTATTCTCCTAATCCATTTAGAAGAATAATTCAATTTTTATATATAGTTTTTATCTTATGTTTGATTATATTTTCAATTACTGTTTTTCTTATACCAATATTTCTTCAATATTATATTTATGTTCCTTCATTTGTAAATATTTATTTAATTCCAACTTTCTATTACCTGAGTTTATTCTTCAAATTTTCTTCCAAAATAAATAAACGTGGATACACTGGATTCTTGAACCTCGATATTGATGTTAACCATTCTTCGGTTGTTTCGATACTTCTACGATTTTTCTCAAGCACGTGTTCTTCCAATTGCAGAAAATGTTATTCCTACCGAAAGGACAACAATTGAGCCCGATGATGAGGTGGAAGAAGCAATATTTGCAAAGAGGTGAAAGAATAAAAAATCAAATAAGCCAACTTTCAAATACTTGGAAAACTTCATGAAAAACAAGAAGACATTTGAGAATGTGGAACATATTTGGAAACAATATCGTAATTATTGTGAAAATGACTTCACTTGAAAACCATAAATTGTTCAAGTTAGGGTTGCTAACTTAGGAAGGTCAACTTCATTTTGGTTTAAGCGTACGTCGTTTATAACCCAAAATAATGTTGGAAGGCAAGGTTATGTTCATTTTTGGTGCCTTTTTGTTGCTATTCACTGTTAAGGAAACTAACAGACAGCATATCATATTGGACGAGATATGATTACTTTTTTTTTGTTGACAAGGGAACCCGCAGCCGCTATCCGAAGGTGCGCACTAGGTAAACCCCGCCTTGTGATCCTAGCCGACAAAGGACCACAAGGAGGTAAACCAGCCTAGCTTACCCATAGCTGACCGGCTCAAACCAAGAAGCCCAATAGGCAACTCCAACGAGGATCGAACTAGCAACCTCACGATTGCTAATCCAACTGCCCGACCAACTTGGCTGGGGTTGCCCCCAAGATTATAGGAAGAGGCGTTGATTGTTTGATTACATCATATTTTTCTTCTTTTGTTCCTTTTAATTTTTATTCTTTCCTTTTAGTCTGACTCTTTCTTTGTACACAATATACGGCCTTCATTGTAAACTTCTATATAAGAAAATATATGCTTCTGGTCTTATCACAATTAACCAACTTCATTTCATACAATTCTTTCATTCACAATAAAAAGTGGGCACTTGATAAAGTTTATCTAGACATATCTTCAACACATGTACAAATTGACCAGTCGAGGTACGCTACTATTAGTTTATATAGTAGTGTAGTTTATTTTACTTTCGATTTGTGGTTCATAAAAAACCATAAAAACTATATTTATGCCATCAATCATTACAATAATAAGTTTTTGATCATGTATTAAAAAATAAATGCATTTAAGTCGTCGTTGAATTTTTCCACTACATATAAAGTATTTTTTATGTTTTAATGGGCGTCTTATGAGAATTTTATTGTGAAGATAAGGTCCTGTAGTTTAATTTTTGATAATGTTAGTGTTAACACAAATACTATAGAAGAATTGATTAGACAATCACTTCGAAATTTGATGCAAAAATTGTCACATTTGATATTCCCATCGCACTTTGACATAAAAAGTACCCTGCGTTCATATTATTCTGCCAAACACAATAGAATAATGATCTACCACCGCCGTCTTTATTATTTGTCATTTCCAGATTACGTATGGATCTATTTAAGTATGACGATTGCAAGAAGCCCATCGTGTATCCATTTTTCTGCTAGTACTAGTAGCATACAAAATGAAATCCCTTTTAGAGCTTGTTTGGGAGCGATTTTTTATCTCAAAAAATAACTTTTTGACCGTTATTTCACTATTCTAGCCGTCATATTTGACTTCTTCTCTCACAGGTGGACTCTACTTTTCTCCTAACGATCAAAAAATCAATTTCTAAAATCACTCCCAAACAGATTCTTAAATTGGCTAGATATTTTCATACAAATTCTTACTGTTATAAGTCGAAAAGAGATAATAATTTTAATCTTTATCCATAGTGGCAAACAATGAAAAATAGTGTTCAATATTATTTTTGATGACAAGTGATCTAGTAATACACTTGATGTCAATTGTAACATCGAAGGCTATGTTTATTTTAGGTTGCAAGGTTACATCAAGCTATTGAAGCAGGCTAAAAAATGAATTGAGGCTCTAATGGGTGTGAAGGACTGACATGGTATGGACTATCAAATAGAAGATAAGATAACTAATATTTCGTTGAAGATTTTCAATAGTTATAACCTTCACGACTTTTTAGTATCTAACTTCTATACTTCTTACTTTATATTGATATTTCAATGTTTAAAAAAAAAATGTACACAACATACGCAAATAAAAGAGGAGGATTTTTGCAAAGTCATAATTCTTTTTAACAAAATATAATTTTTTACGGTTTCGATTTCCTTATAAATTTACGTCTTCACTATACTTCAAGGAATAAACGTACAATTTTTAGTTAGAGAAACGAGCTACGAACTGGTACTAACCGAGCCCCATTCGATCATGCAAGCCAACTAGCGTGGTGGGCCGATCCATTCTCGGCATGTAGCCACTTCATGGTATGAATTTCAATGTTCATAAAATTATTCAAGAAGATGAGATCGTACTAGACGAAATAAAGACGGATTTTAGTTGCAAACTTCAAGAATCATTTGTAATTTTATTATAGTATTTCATGGCCTCTAATTTTGTACTATTTTATAATTTAAGTGTGGAATAGCATAGTAGTATTATTAATATGCATAGTAGTATTATTAATATGTTTTGGTAAATATGCGGAAAAGAAAAACCATGTTATTTCCTAAAATCAATTGCTCCAACAACTCATGATATATTTTAAATAAAAAAAATTCTTATCAAGTGGCAATATAGATCTCGATAACTTTTGACACGTCTTTCAAGTTCATCTCAGAGCAACAAGATATACCCTTGTTTGTTGTAGATTAAAATCAATTTTTTAATAGATTTTGATAAAAATTGATGAAAAATACGATTAAAGATTTATGGATCCCATGAAACGTGTGATTAAAATTAATTGTTAAAAACCATACGGGGCTATTTGAGACGACTCTTTAGACTTGAGCAACTATTTATCTAATACATTGCTCATTTTTTGATAGATATTTTCGAATTAGCAAATAATTGAGGTAGACACGCTGCATATTGTCTAGGTGCTTTATTCTATTATTCAACTAAAAATGAACATAATTGGAGGCTAAACTATTATACTACAAAAGAAGTTATTCAAATTTGATTAATGTTAAATATCCTTTCCAGAATTTAATATTAATATATAAATAAATTTTAAATCTTTAATACTGTTTCCGGAGCATTTCATGTCTTACTTATCTCGAAAATAAAAGTTCAATATCTTCTGTCCTTTCACGTTTCGTTCCTCATTTCCATTTTTGTAGCATATTTCTTTCAGAGAATACAGAACTGGTGATACAAATCCATGCAAAACAAAGCATAATATTGCAGTATTTTAACTCACACAGCTGAGGTAGAACTGATACAAACGATCCACAATAAATGGATACTGTACATCACTCATCCTCTTATTCGTACGTAAGATACAACAACGTTAAAAAAACACTGCATTTCTTAGGTTGGTTTTAGTTGTGAGGCTTGGCTTCAGGTTCAGCATCCACTGCCTCACCAGCATATGTACAGCACCTGCAACCCCCTCCGTAATGTTTCTGGCCACAGCAGCCATGACGGCAGTAGCCTCCTCCACCACCGCGATTTCCTCCATATCCCCCACCGCGATTTCCTCCATAACCCCCACCGTGATTTCCTCCATATCCACCGCCGGGGTAACCGCCACCAGGGTATCCTCCATTTCCACCTCCATACTTGGATTCTTCAACCCCATTTGTCTTCTCGGCCTCCTTATCTGAACAAATTTTAGGTGCAAAAGTACAAGATAGGAACAGCTATTAATACTTAAAAATCTTTACCACACAGTCTATCAACTTTCGATTGGAAAAAATGAAATTCTTAAACACTTCGAGACATGTTTTATTTTATTTAATAAAATGTGCACATTGTCGTGGAAACAATAATCTATATATGTAGAAGAAATTTTACATTCAACGACGAAAACTTTTGTGTAAGAAGAAACTTACCGGTGGAAGTCTGAGACAATTCCCGGGCTGACACTTCTGATGCAATGAGAAGAACCATAGCCAGAAGGCCAAGTAGAAGAATTGTCTTGGAACCCATTTGCTATAACTGATTGTTAAGAAAAAATGGAACTTGATATATGTTTTTGATGATAATGTTTAGAGTGTTTCATCTCTATTTATAGACAAATCTAGGAAGATATTGAGTCCATTATTAGAGTTGAGTAGGTCCAGCTTTTATTGGCAATAAATACACAGATTTAATACGTACAAATTCCACCTTATCTTGATTACACGTCGATCTTAAAAGCACTGTTGATCGACACTTAATTTTGTGCTAAATTTATATACGGCTGGATATCATTTTATTCCAAAATATTGATCACTTGAGTATTTATCAGCAATTATGCTACTCAAACAGAGAATTTTGACAGGAAATGTTGACAGACAACACTATACGTGCATTCATTGAAAAATTAAAAAAAAAGGCGAATCACGTTTTGTCATGTCAGCTCTGTCAACATTCCCCGTCAAAACATCCCGTTTGAGTAACTTTTAGGTGTTTTTATCGAGAATTCAATGAGACTTGTAGCTATTAATGTTTTCTATCCAGTTATGTGCAGAAGTAATGTTGGTAAAAATATAGCCATAATGTCATATTTTATTAATAAACTTAATTTATATAGCATATGTGTTAACTTTGCAAAATCAAGAGGGAAAAATAAAAGACAGTTAAAGCTACGACTCACTGCCAATCATTCTTAATTAATTTAAAAAAAAAAAAAAAGGATGTTCTTCATTAAAAGTTGGTCAGATTCTATAGTTTTCACCAGAATTTTCAAATTTTGTAAGGAAAAAAGAACATTTGTTAACTTTTCTAATTATTACATAAAATTCTAAATAATTTTAATTACGAATAAAAAAATGCAAACTTTAAAATATTCAGATAAAATGGAACTACACGCGTACTCACAAATGGTGCATAAACCTTTGTATTACTGAGAGAATGTACATGGTGCATGGTAAATTGCAGTTATTTCCTGTAAGATAGTTATCGATAAAAGTCAATAGGTGTACATAGTCGTTACCTTTTTATCATTCTTGTCATCTATCCATCCCAATATTTTATTGTAATTTGTTACATAGGTATATTAATAAAACTTGTGTCAAGGGGTCTTTAATTATCTTGTGATATATATCGAGATACACTGGTGATAATAGACACATTGTCACATGGAAGGGTATAAAAAGAATAAAAGAAAATAATTATATAATATATTTGAATTGAGATTTATTAATAAAAAAGAAACTTTTGCAGATTCAGTTTCCTGGGATCTTGAACAATCTGAATAAATCAAAGGATGGAAAAATGTCTCTTATTTAAGAATAGAAAAAGTACTGCTCTTCCATTTTGCTAAGTTAATGTTTTGGAAAAATGAAAATCGATCATATGAGTAAAAGCAAACATAATGATGAAGATAGATAAGACTAGTTTTCTCTTAATTTTTATGTCAATTTTTATTAATCTTTTAATATCGTTCTGTTGAGAGTTTTGAACTTCAATCTTGATGTGGATCCTCATTCAAAATAATTAACGATTTGTTGATTAGTTTGAAGTATCTCATTTTTAGATATTGTATTGAGAAAGTGCCAGTAATTAGATAAGTTTATAAGATGGTTGAATTACTCTATCTCATACGTTCCATCTTTGCTTGGTTTGAATAATTATGAGAACAATAAGAATGAAATGAGAGTGTCTAATGAATGCAGTTCATCTCTATTGTTATTGGTTTCATGATTTCTTAATGTTAAATTATATATGTCCATTTTAAGTGACCGTCCCACACTCCATTGAAGTGAGTTGGATCGAGTGGTTTGTATCTAAATTCAAACCTTAAACCTCCCTTAACTTGCACGCGTACCTCCGACTAAAACAATGAAAAACGAGGAAAAAGGGGCCTAAGATGACGGGAATTTTTGTTTGAAAATGCACCAATAATAAAAAGAACACGAAATTCTCGCAAAACAATGGCATTTTGACTCTAGACAATGAATTCTTTCCATTTAGATTGAGTTCTTGATCGTACGAGTGCAACAAAATGAGGAATTGGAAGAGAAGTGCAAGTGGATTTAACCATGCAAGGATTTGAAAATTTTTCACTATAAAGTATGGTATTAGGATCCGAATTTATTTATGTACATGGTACAAAATGTTTCTATTTCCAACCAGATTTAGGGCAAAGCCTCTTAAAAATTCATTCCATCACATGTCGGACAAGTTGTACCCAGCAGATACAGCCCCAAAAATTAGACTTGGTAGAAATTAAAATTCGAATTTTAATCTAAGTAGAAGTCAACAATTCATTTTAACCATACATATAATGAAATTTATAATTTTTTAACCACACATTTTATCAAATTTTTATTACAATATTCTACTAAAAATCTGATTTTAATACCTACCAAACGAGGTGATAATAATGTAATAACTAAAAATTCAAAAGCATGTACCAAGTGGGAACAAAACACATCTCAGATACATGAACTGATTTATGCTGGTCAAGTGGGGTGGAGTGCCAAGTTGATGAACAGAGTTATGGGCCAATCTTAAATAATAATTAATTAACTGAAAATAATAGAACTTAGGCTATGTTTGATTGCACCCCAATTTCATGGAAAATGAAAATCAAATTCCATATTTCTAATTTTTTGTTGTTTGATTGGCAAAATTTTCTCTAGAATTCGAATTCCACCTTTTATGCCACCTAAGCTAATTTCCATGTTTTTCTTAAATTCCAATTCTCGCCAAAAATGGTGAGAATTGGAATTCTCGGTTACTATAACGTTTTTTTTTTATTTTTTTTTTGGTAATATAAACAAATTCTAAGAATTATTATAAAAAAAATATTTTCCTTTAAATGACAATTTTCATGTAAAACAAAGTCAAACGAACATCAAAAGATAGATGATTTTCTTAAGATTTTTGTTTTTTTTTTGTGTGTGTTGGCAATGGAAACAAATTTCATCCCCAATACCAATAAAATTTATCCCTTTAATTGAAAATTTTCATGTAAAACAAATCCAAACGAAAATCAAAAACCCTTTTATTTCAACATTTTCCACATGAAAAATTATCTCAATCAAATACAATAATTTACAATTATCAGAAAAACAAATTCTAGACAATTCAATTCTTTGGAATTCGTTTTCAATTCAATATAATTCCATTTTTGCAATCAAACGGACCATTAGTTTTGAAATTATATAATCATGCAATTTTTTATCATCAATTTAAATTGCTCTTTTAAGGCATAAAAAAACCTTACTTATCGAGAAAAAAACCCTCAATAAACAACAGTTTTCTAATTCAGAAGATTAAATATAATTTAGTAATTACAAAATTCAAAAATAGTTCTTTTAAAATCCTTGACCAAAAAAAAAAAAAAAGCACTAAAGTATTGATTGGAGGGTGATGTAACTGTTGTTTTCAGAAGCGAGATCTATTGCAATCCAACCCTCTATAGTCTATACAGTCATACAGAGTTACATAGCCACAAGGGGGCATGCAGTACTGCAGTGACAATAATGAAAGCCCTTAAAAAACTTTTATTATAACATGCTACTATATTTATAAATAATAACGTTTTTTTTCCAGAGAAAATTTTTATTTTTCAAAGGTAAAAAGGTTTTAAATATATTAGCGACTTCAAATTTGATTTTGTTTTTCTCGTTTTCAAGCTGAGTTTTCGTTTTTACTTTGCCGTTTCTTTGTTTATTACTTGACTTTCGAAATTTATTTTATTTCTTTGTTCGTCCCCAATTTCAACACTATTCAAATTCTCCAACTTCAGTTTATAGTCTTTGACATTAATACTACGATTTATGAATTTTTTGCCCTATCGTGTGTGCATGTGTCCGCATTTTATTTTTCTTTTTAAATATTGATATGGAAGTATGGAATTGATTAGTTTTCCAACTGTTACATCTATATTCCATTTTTAGTTGTGATGACACTATGACAATTCTCATTATGTAAGGCATTGAATTTAAGACTCGAGTTGAGAAAAAAGGATAGGCCCTTGGATGGGCTTTCAGGAAATGGGGAGGGTGAAAGGTCCCACCATAGTGTGTGTATATATATATATAAGGGAAAATTACAAAATTCCAAGTGTTTAAAGACTAGAATTCAAACATCAGGGTTAAAGTTTCTTTGTGCATAAATCAGGTATCAAATAATAATTAAATATTAAATATTTGCCCTAATTATTCCAAGCCCTAAACACTTTCTCCTTTTCCTCTCTCTCTACCGTCTCCTTCTCACCCATATTTCTCTCCCTTCTCTTTATAACAAATCGTTGGCAGAGAAGTTGCCATTGTAGCGGCACCGTCTGAAGAGCTGCGTCGGTTTCGATGTGAGATCGATGTTGCTGCCATCTCTCTCCCTTTTCGATCTACAGTTATCTCTCTCTGTTTGATCTGCTGCAATTTATGGTGTGGTGAGATCGATGCCACTTCTAATTTCTCTCGAGTCTGATGTGAGATCGGTGTCGCTGCCTGAAGTTGATGTGGTGGCGTTTGTCACGGTGATGTGACGACTTCTCTGTGCAGCTTCTCTATTCCCGATGGTGATATGTTGGCGTTTATGGTGTGACACGGTGGTAGTTTGGTTCAGGCGGCGATAGTGTGGTTGGTAGTTTTTTTTTTTTTTTTTTTTTGGTGTGTGATGCTGGTGTCGGGTGCGGTGGATCTAGGTAGGATTGCGATTGTGGTGTTCTGGTTGTGGTTGGCGTTCAGTGGTGGTTCTGGCTGTGTTGGTGGTTTGGTGCGTTGTGGGTGGTGGTGATGGTTGTTGATGCAGGTGGTGGAGGTGCCCGATCCATGGTATGTGTGCGGTTTTGTTGGTGCGATATGGGTGGTGGTATTTGCTACGGTGTTGGTTTTGGTGGTGTTTGTATTGGTGTTGGTGTGGTGTGTGGCGGCGGCGGTGGTTGTGGTGCTACAAGTTGGTGGTTTGGGTTGATTATCGGTGTGTTTTTTTGTTGGCGGTGGTCTGTGACTTTAAAATTTGATAGTCTGTGATTAAAAAATAATATGTGACCTCAACGATTTTGTTTGTGACCTTAAAATTTGATGATCTGTGTCTAAAATAAT